GAGTGGTCTGCTGTCCTGTCCGTGCGTGTCTCGAAGTTCGCGGTTGTGCGTCCGAAACGCGTACTCGGCGCGTTTTCCGGTCGGTCGTCGTATCGTCACCTACCATTGTTTTTACGATACGATAAATCTCATCCGTATCGAATACGCGTTTTGTTTTCGGTGTTTCGCCCCGGACGCCTTCGCAATTGTCTCGATAGCGTACGAAATACGATTATATGTGTATATATATATATATATAATAATATTTATAAAAAGAAACGTGCGTACCATTGTCGACGTACGTCAGATTATGTTTATTATATACAAAAATCGCAAAATCGTTGTTTCAGTCGTTGTAATGGCAGATCGAGTTTCACCGGTGCTAGTATATAAGAAAGATAGCAACGAAACTCTGCTATAAGTGAATACCCCAGGTCGGTGAACTCTGTGGTGAATACCCAGGTCGGTGAAACTCGCTGTATGAATACTTTCAGGTCGGTAAAATCTGCTGTATGGGAAACTCTAGTAGTGCTGAATAATCGTTTTGAAGTGAATTTCAGGTTGGAGACAGGACTTAAGCATACAGCAGTTAGAAAGTCTAGTAGGCAAACTAATGATAACGACATTTTGAGATGTTGGTATATTTCACGGCGACCACCTTGGCGCTGCTGTTTTAAACGCGTAAATAATAAAAGTCCACCCGAGCGTCTAGTGGTCGGTCATTTCATTAAATCATTGGTGTATACACTTGTCCCGTAGTCTTGCAGTCTTGTGCATGGAAATAAATAAATACATTCCGAAATGGTAATTAAATCATTGCTCTTCAGTCGTTGTAATGCCTTTAATCGCATACCTTTGGGGGGATATCGTGATATGTGTGATAATAAACCGGTACGTCGTTAAAATGATACATCGTGTAAACGAATACGTCGGAAACATTTAAACGACAATAAAGTGCGATTTACGGTTTTGGGACACGCGAACGTAAAATTGTACGGGTTAAACGACGTATACAGTAGTATTCGTTGCATCTAAACGGTTATGCTCGAGATTCGGTCGTGGTTTACAACTCAAACTGTAGTCGATAGGTGTTAGGATAGTCCCCTCGTTAGGTAGGCAGGTTCCGGCGTATCTGGCGCCCTAGATATGCTACACATATCGTGAAATTTTGCATTTTTCATTTAATTCGATTATTAATGTTATTGTTTTGATATCCAGTTTCTACACTACTCATAAAATATTTTAAAATTTAAAACGATTTTTGATCTCACATTACATTTTATATGCTTTGATTGATGATGACAAATATATTATATTATAATATACACTACATGAACGTTAAATTATACAATAGTAAGCAATACGTAACTGAACGAAGCACAACAATCGGAATATAGCGTCGAGAACGCGACGGAAAGAGGTCTCGAAAGGCCGCAAAATCGGGCGAAAAGCAGAAAAAACGGTATATAAAAACAATAATAATAAGTAATAAGTATTAAGTAATAACGACCGATAACGACGACGGCGGGAGATAACGATAACGGCGCGAGCGAGATATCAGATAACGACGGGGAAAAAAAAATTGTAATTTTTCGATTGGTCGGGACACTAAACCTATCGGCCCGTGTCGCAACTATTCGTTTTATGTTATAAGAAGAAAGAAAGAAGAAAATTATAAGATTATAAGAAGATTAATCAATGCTATACAGAGTACAGACTGTGCTAAAATCATTCATCTTAAACTATGTATTATAAATTTATAAACAATTATTATAATAATAAATTTTAATCTGAATCATTAACGATTTTAAAAGTTTAAATTCAATTTAAGAAAAATAATCGTAAAGCACAATCGATTTTTAGCGATTTTCAGTGCTATTGAGCGTGTTGACGGTTACCTGTCGATAATCGATAGAATAGTCGACCGGTGGAAAATAAGAATAATTTAACATTAAAAAATTTAAAAGTAATAAGTAGCAACAAATATTATTCTACTGTTCGACACTGTTTTTAAAAATCAAAAATATTTGACTTACGTACTTCAATATTTCCTCGTAAGAATTTATTCCGTTACGTTAGGTATTTAGGTACGAGTGTTTACAGACTTCGCGATTGTCCGTCACAGTTTGTCAAGGGCAAATGATAAGAAAAATTAATCGATTTTAAACTTTCATAGTTTTATTACGTTTACTTGCCGAGTACCGAGACCGAGAGCATTTAAGCGGTTTTCAATTTTCTTAATTTTTTGTCTCTTCACTCACCTTTTAATACCTCGAGTACCTATCTCGTTTTCTAACATTCAATCTTTTACAATTTTGATTGATAATTGGATCTTTGTTTATACAACTAACAATGGCACTTAACAAATTAAGCATCAAGAGTTTAGAAGTGGCGAACAAACGGGTTTTGATCAGGTAAATATAATTTGATAGGTAGGTTTATTATATGTATGTCTATAGTAAGATGACTTGTTTTCGACATCAAGTAACTATTTGATAACATGTCACTTTAGAAGTCAAACCATCAAGTCTATATAATATCATCATGTCTTGATACAAAAGGTCAAATAACTAATACCTACCAATTATTTTGATTTTTTTTTAATTGTCATAATTTATTAATTTATTTAAATTAAAAATCTTTTTATTCCTTAATTTGTTTTTGGGTGATCAATTTCTGTAACTGAAATAAATTGGAGATTACTTAAAAAAAATTATACCTAATATAATAGATTATCATTAAATTGTTTGTCATAAGGCTATTATATAGTAATATTAAAAATAGCATAGGTGAAAATCTAGTTTTGATAACCTCAATGTATAAATATATAACCTAATCAAATATGGATGCAACGTAATGGTATACTTCCAAATTATAAATGTTAATGATAATTAAAATTCAATTGAATAACCAATTCACATAATATCTATTTCAATTTTTAGTAAACTGTATTTTTAATTTTTAGTGACATTTTAATAGGTAATTTAAATTCTATTACCATATTACCATATATGCAATTAGTGGTTTGTTATTAATTTAATAGAAAGTGTAACAAATTGTTTAATTTTTTAACACGTAGCAAATATTTTTCTGAAATGTTTGTGTTTAATTCATTGTATTTACTAATGTTGCAAATGTTCACTACTTTTAGTGATTAGTGATCTCAAATAGTAATTATCTAATCGATATTATAAAATTCAATTACTAATAATTGGTAATCTTAATTTCTTAAAGCTTAAATATAAATTATTATAAATTAATAAAGTGAAAAAATGTAAATTAAAATTAGGTTTAAATTCAAAAAAATGCCACACCCACGTGTGTTGTCTTAGTCTTACAAACATACCAGATTTATGTTCAGCTAGTCCAATTTTGTGTAATAAGCTTTAATATATTAGTGAATTAGCGTATGGTCAAACTTAAAATTATAAACCATCATCTGTGTTTTATAAGTGGATTTTATGATATTAAAATTTTTGAAGTAAGCATTTTAAAAAATTGTAAAAAAACCACGAGAAAACACTTTTAATGTTCTTATCTTTAAGTTTGTGAAAAAAAGTCAATTTGTTCTATTATTAAAGGTTATTACAAAAATTGCAACCGCTGAACACTAATTTATTCATCAATCTTTACACCTTACACAAGTAAAACTTAAAGGAAATGTGTAATATAAAAATATCTTATTAGTATTAAGTCTATCTGTAATGTATTTTGCATAAAAAATAAATAAAAATTTATTATATTGTATGTTTATAAAACTGAAAAATCATACAAGCATTATTTATTTAAGGTTAATAATAAAATGATTTTTTTACATTTCAGAGTTGATTTTAATGTTCCATTAAAGGATGGAAAGATAACGAACAATCAACGTATTGTTGCTGCATTAGATAGCATCAATTATGTTCTTGAAAATGGTGCCAAATCTTTAGTTCTCATGTCCCATCTTGGACGTCCAGATGGATTACCAAACTTAAAGTACTCTTTGAAGCCAGTTGCTGAAGAGCTCCAGAAACTCCTTAATAAGTAAATTATTTTCAATAGTGTTTTTTTTTGTATGTACCTAAAAATATTGGTAATGAGCTATTAAATCAGTGTTATATTTTGTTAAACAATTTCTAAGATGTGGTTAAATACTCAACATATAATATTACATTTTTAAATAAGATTTATAGCATACGAGGAACAAAATACCTCGATTAACAGCTATATAAATCTAAATATCCATGAAAAACAAATTTTAAAATACAGTATAATTTTAATTATTATATTATTTTTCAACTTTCTTATAGTTAAAGGTTATAAAATTGTATTAAATCCTTATTAAATTGTGTTAATTTTAATTCTTTATTTTCCTTCATTCCTTATAGAAACAAATCCTTATCCTCAATTATGAAAGATTGTTTTGCTCATATAAATAAAGATAAAAAGTAAATAACTATTTTTAAATTATATTTTTAAATAATTATACATCATATTAATTATTTTAGGAATGTTACATTTTTGTCTGACTGTGTTGGTCCAGAAGTAGAAAAAGCTTGTGCAGATCCTGCTCCTGGTTCAATATTTCTTCTAGAGAACCTTCGATTCCATATTGAAGAAGAAGGAAAAGGTGTCAATGCTGCTGGAGAAAAAACTAAGGCTGACAAAGAAGATGTGAAAAAATTTAGAGAATCATTACAGAAATTGGGAGATGTATATGTTAATGATGCATTTGGTACTGCACACAGAGCCCACAGTTCTATGATGGGTGAAGGTTTTGAAAAGCGTGCTGCTGGCATCTTGTTGAATAAAGAGCTCACTTATTTTGCTAAAGCTTTGGATAATCCCGAAAGGTATCAAATTAAAATTAATTTTTTCATCCCTACAATAAATTATTATATGTTATTATTTATTGGTAATGTGTAGTTATAAATAGATTAATTCAATAGCTTGTCATAATTAATAATGAAATTAATTAATATGTTTTTTACTTTATAGGCCTTTCTTAGCTATCTTGGGAGGAGCTAAAGTTGCTGATAAGATTCAACTTATTGAAAATCTTTTAGATAAAGTTGATGAAATGATTATTGGAGGAGGTATGGCTTATACTTTCTTAAAAGAGTCAAAGGGCATGAAAGTAAGTTTAATAAATAATAAAAATGAAGTATTGAAAATATCTTTTAATAATTTCAAAATATATTCTAGATTGGTGATTCTTTATATGATGAAGCTGGAGCCAAAATTGTCGGAAAATTATTAGATAAAGCTAATGCTCGCAATGTTAAAATTCATTTGCCAGTTGATTTTGTCACTGCTGATAAATTTGATGAAAATGCGAATACTAGTTCTGCAACTGTTGAAGAAGGAGTTCCTGAAGGTTGGATGGGTTTGGACTGTGGACCAGAATCTAGGAAGTTGTTTTCTGAACCTATTGCTCGTGCTAAGGTCATTGTATGGAACGGGTAAGGAATTATTAATATTGTAATTTTTTTCATTTATATTAATGTAATAAAAATATTACGATTAATTGGTTTCTCTACATGTATTTAATACATTTATATATTAATTATTTTTTTTTTATTAGGCCTGCTGGAGTTTTTGAGTTTGATAAATTTGCAAATGGTACTAAAGCTTTAATGGATGATGTTGTTAAGGCAACTAAAAATGGAACTGTCACTATAATTGGAGGTGGTGATACTGCAACTTGTGCAGCTAAATGGGGGACTGAAAGTCAAATAAGTCATGTGAGCACTGGTGGTGGTGCAAGTCTTGAACTACTTGAAGGTAAGTTTTGTTAAGATTATTAAAAATATTCAAAAATGGACATGAAAGACTATTTTTGTGGTTATATTATTATTGTTAATATAAATGTAAATCAAGTTTTTACTTTTTTTAATGAAAGTTCAATTTCTTATTCCTAAAAATAATATATTTTTTAGAATTTTAATATATAAAAATGTAATCATGAACTATAAATTTCTTAGTATTAAAATTTTAGACAAGCAGAGTAGAGTGAGACATTCTATCCACCTAACCTCAAAGCATTTTTATTATTGACTATGTATGACTAATTATCACATTATTAAGATCTATATGTGCTGTTTCCATCTTACAAATTTATACTCAGAAATTCCAGTTTTGTAAAGTATTAATATTGAAGTGGATTGACCTATTATCAAATTTTAAAGTACAAGAACTCTCCCAGAAATATAAATCTGAGTGAGGGCAAAGTCATAAGTACAAAACTATATAATAATAATTTACCCATTTAGATAATAAAACAATTAATATTTAATATTAACTAAAATAACGGAATGACCATGCCCCCCATGGCCAACACCTGCGAAGTTCCTTGTAAAGGTATAAACATTTACCATTAATACTATATTTTAATTTTTAAGAAAGTTATGAGAATTTTTATATTACATTATTTTAAATATTAAGGATTTTCTTAAAAATTAAATGTTGTAAAAAACTTATGAACTATATACAAAGTGATGTTTCTCTTTTTAGTTTGATAATTATTCAATTAATTTATTTACTTTATTATTAGATTACTAAACAAAATTGAAACTGCTGAGCACAATTTTCATGTATTGACATTAATGGAAAATATTCTACTTATGAATATGAAATTAAAAATGTCTACCAGTCAAAATATAGTTTAAAAAAAAAAAAAAATTATTTTGTAATGATTTAAAATTATTATATAAAATATTTTCCAAAAACATTTATACATTTTGTAATAATGTGTGTTCTTTTGAATGAATCATTCTGTATATATAATTTAATTTTAATTTATTAAAAATTTTTTTTCAGGAAAAGTCTTACCAGGAGTTGCAGCTTTGACTGACGCATAATTGTTTAAAATATACCTGGCTTGTTTAATATTTACAATACAATATGTGGTTTATTTATTTTTATTTGTTTTTATATTTACCTCTAGTTATCCAATTATTGTGCATGTGGATTTTAATTTTCTAAATTTAAATTCCTATTGTTAAATATGTTATATTATTCATTATTTGTTTACTTTTCATAGATAAAATATAGTAGTTTCATAGAATAAACTCAAAAAATCTATTTAGTGATTTTATATAACTTTGTTAATTTTGAAGTTGGTTAATAGATGACCAAAAGATTAAAACAATAAACCATACATTAGGTTATTATTCTAATTTATATTTTATATTATAATATTAACATTATAAGTGTTAAACAGCATACAACCAAAAAACATTTAAATGTTATAGCTTTGGTTTAGTTTAAGATTTTAAAAATGTAATATTGAATAGGAAATATTAAAATAATAAGTATTTTTAAGCAGTTTCAACTTTTAACACGTTCGCTGCGTATCATATTTTAGTAGCACCGACTGCGGTGCGCACGCAATTTTCGATATAAAATTTACAATGACGCCATTTGGCGTTGTTAGCACTATTGAATAATTTTTACATCATATGCTGAATGACGCCAATTGGTGGTCATTTTTTTTTTATACAAGTGTTCAAATAAACAAACAATTCAAATTAATTAACAGACTGTTATATTATTATGAAGTTTAAACAAACAAAAAAAAATTATCTTTTATACCTAATTACATATTTTATATATTATATTATTAAATAAACAAAAAAAACTTATATAATTATTTTTAAACAAACAAAAAAAACTTATCTTATTATTTTTAAATAAATAAAAATCTTATTTATTATGATGAAATTTCGCAAAACATGGTTCTAGACAAATACTAGGATGATTTGGACAAATTGGACAGAAATATGAAGTGTCTTTGCGTATTTTCTTTTCTGCACAAACACAACATCTTTTACGAAGTGCTCTTCCATTTTTTCCTATCTCGTGTGTTTTTGGAATGTGTTTTCGTTTAGCATCTAGTCTTGGTTTTGGATATGCTGGTAAAAGTTCACTAAGAATAGATAAACGAAAATCATAGAGTGTCATCTTAGATCCGACTTGTGATTGATTGTACAAATTGTAAGAATTTAATAATAGCATTTGGATCACATGTATTCCTATCTTCTTGTACCAACGAACTGTTTTTCTCAAAAATGGATAGTAACTGTTCATTTGGTCTTGCCGATCAATACCACTCATAAATTTATTATAATTTGCAATCGGTTCTGGTTTTAGTTTTTCCTGACCTTTTTTATTTTTTGCAAGTATCAAATTATTTTTGAATTCGGTAGAAATATACATAACATCCCGTTTGTCCTTCCATTTACCAACTAATACGCCATTAGAGTACATTGCTTTTGTTTCACCAGGTTTTAATTTTGATTTTACTACGGCCTCAGGAATACGTTTTCGGTTAGATCTTAATGTGCCCGTACAGTATGTCTTTTTTTGTAATAATTGTTCAGCTAAATCGATGCTATTATAAAAATTGTCCATGTACATTGAATGACCATTATTTAATTTTTCGGACATCAGATGTAGTACTACGTTTGCAGCATGACCTTTACCTCCTAGGTCATCTAAAACACCCGTATACACAGCAAATTTTATAATAAGTCCATTTGGTTCGGTAAGCATGTACAATTTAACACCATATTTATGGCGTTTATTTTGTATATACTGTCGAAAAATAAGGCGGCCTCTCCACAATACCATTGACTCATCGAGTGAAAGCTCTTTATTAGGGTAATAAATATTATTCATTTTGGTATTGAAATAATTTATAAGAGGTCGAATTTTGAAAAGTCTATCAATAGGAGTATTTTCAGAATGGTCAGTAGGATTCTGGGCGAAATGAAAACATCTCAAAAGTAATAGAAAGCGATCGCGACTCATATAATTCGAAAAACATGTAAAATTAAATAAATGATGTGTTTTCCAGTAATCGTTTAATCGATTTAGTCTGATTGTGCCAGTGTGAATAACTAAACAAATAAAAGTTATAATTTCATCGCGGTCCGTAGGTTTCCATTGAGATATACGAGAACGCTCTGCAGCACCAACTCGTAAAAATTCAGACTCGGCATAGTTATTTGTTTCTCTAACTATAAGTTCAAAAAAATCCTCATCAAACAGCATGAAAAAAAAATCTATGGGTTTTCCGTTTTCGGGTATTGGAACGAGTAAACCTGGTTGTTTATCAAACGTAAAATTAAAAAGATCAATTTCGTTTGTTGTCCAAGTGTTATTAGTTGTTATTGTATTGGGAAATTCGAAATTTGGTTCAGTAGACATTTCATTTCCTAAATCCGAAGTCGACGAAGAATCGGAATCACTTGCACCCAAATAATCGCTGCCAGAATCAGAATAATCAAAATTTTCGTCATCAGATTCAAAAAGAAGTCTTTCAATTTCATTTTGAGTAGAACGGAGATCAATATTTGTACAAAGTCTATTGGGTCGAGACGAACCAGCATTATCAGAATTATTCATATTTATTGCAGTAAAATAACAGCATAAAAAAAACAATGAAAAATTAAATTTATATACGTCAAATCGATTTATAACAAACGTAGTTACCTAGCTATCGTATAATAATAAAGATAATACTACTCACTTTATTGGTACACGTCCAAATTGGCTGAATAACCAAAGAGAAATAAACTAAATATGAATTTACTGAATGCATACGATCAATATCACGATCGATACTAAAAATAATATGTCTATAACATACAAACATAATTGTGCTATGACGATTACGGGTCGTCATCAGCTGGGTGTGTCTGAATAACATGATAAAAGTAGGTAATAGGGAATATTATTGAATAGTATGTAAATACCAAACAAATGGTTATTTTTAGAAACGGTTTTCAAAATTATATTAAAAAATGTTTGTAGATAACGCTGACAAAAAATTAGTGCACAGGTTCTAACGCTGACCGGAATATAAGCACATAATAATCGGTATATCAGATGACGCCAATTGGCGTCGACCGCACACGGAGAGTGACGCTACTGACGCCAATTGGCGTTGTACGCAGCGAACGTGTTAAATTCCCACTTTCAATATTTTTTGAACTAGGTAAGTACAACAAAGTAAAAATTAAAATAATTATTTTTTTGTTTTTACTTTTACTATGTTAAATTAGAAATCCATTTATCCAGTTTTCAGTTATAAATTAAAATTTAGATAGGCATATGCCTTTTAATATTTACTTTATTAGAAACTACAATTGTATTACCTATGAAATATAAAACACTATTTATGGTATTGAATACCATAAAATATTGGTAGATTAAGTACTAACACTTATCAGTTACATCAAAATGCAAGTATTATACCAACACAGTGTATTTGCCTATATTTAATTATTAGTCCTCATCTAATTATTACTTTACATCCACCATTAACTCATATTAGCTCCCTTAATACTTGGTTTTTGTTCATTCCTTAACTTGGAAAAAGACGATTATTTTAAATATAAAGTTGACATAAACTACTTTAAAAATGGTAAATATTTGATCATTTCCAATTTTTTCATAATTATTAACTACCTAGGTAATTAATAGGGCTCGGAAATTGATGCACTTTGCATTCTTTTTTTGGAGCTTATTAGATGATGCTCTCCTGGCCAAAAATATATTTCATAAACATGTGAATCTAAACTAATTTTTATTTTGCATTTTATAGCTTTTTTTACTTTTTAAGTCATTTTCTGTCATTTTTAGGTCATATTTTCCTTTTAGTTCAATTTCTTGTATTTATAATTAAATTTTCACAATTAACATCTTTACACACATAGCTTTTGTTGTACACAAACTATTTATAAGTACCTACATCAAATTTTTATTTTATAAAATAATATTTTACACAAGTTATATACGAATTAGGTAAATATAAATATACGATAGAATAAAGCAATAATTGCTAGCTATCATTTTTAATTTTTACAGTATAAAATATGCTTAAATAGTAAATTGTAATAATTTTCATTATTATTACTATTCTTTATTTAAATAAAAATGTATTTTTACTAGTTTTAAACAAATATTTATAATTTTTTAGGTCATTTTTTGTGATATTTAAGTCATATGCATATTTCTATTTTTTTAGGTTATTTTTAAGGTTATCAACTTCCACGCCCTAGTAATAAATAGTTTTATAGAATTCGAAAATAATTATTTGCCGCCAACTGAAAAGATTCTGGATCATGGAGTAAGCCGTCATATAAGCCGATCGATTTAATACAAAGTAAATAAAACATGCTTGACGCCGATGACTGATAAGTGATAACGAATTTTTTGTTGATAGTGATAGATGTATATGTACAATAGAAGTACATGTTATTTAACATTTAACTTCAGTTTAAATTTTTAACTGCGATGAAAATTAAAGTTTTTAATTTATTCGTTTAATGCTATCTACGGAGTGCAAACGGTAGTTAAAATTTATATAATTTTGTGTTATGATCGCCGTTAACTGTAAGTCTATTTTTTTTATATAAATAATAAATCAACTTTTGTAAAATGACAACAATTGCTTTAGTTATATGATATGTATCTTGTTTTCATTCAGAAGAGTTGTTCTATTTTGTATTTTGGCGACAGCGAGTTTCTTTTAATTGTTATATTTAGTTTTTAATTTTTTTTCTGTGCATGTTTTCAGTACTTTGTATATATATCCAATAAACGTACATTTTAATCATGTCGGAGAGTGTAGAAGTTCAAATTGAAGATCAAGAATTCCAATTGGAACCTGACAATGAACTTAGATTTGAAGTCGAAAACAAAAATGAAACAGTTGTATTAGAAGTAAGTCCCAGCTATAATTTTATATTTAAATGTAGTATTGTTAAATAGGCAATTCATTGTGAGTAATAATATCTGACATAATATTTTAAGTGTAATGAAGGTAGTGTAAATAAAATGGGTCACATATTTATGTATATTAGTTTTAAATTTTAATATTTTCTACCTATATTATGGCAGTATGGTATAGTGTTATATTTATATGAATTATTTAATCAAGTGATAATAAGAAGATTATAATAATTAACTAAATTAAAGGATTTATAGTAGTAAAACAAGTTTTGAAATAATCATATTATTGTTGATTAACATTTTTTTTAATAATTAAATTTAAAAAGAATTATTATTAACTTAAAAATTTAAATAAAATATGTAGTTAATAATTATTGAAAATAAATTTGTTTAAAACTATATTTATTACATGAAACAAAAATTAATGTTATTTAGTTTTAAATTATTTTTATTTTTATACCAAGTGTGAGAATTCGGAATCATTTATGCATACATTAAACATACTTAAAACCAAATAAGAATTGTAAAAATACTATAATATATTCAGTTATGTGTTTTATCTAGATACATAGTATATGGTAATTCTTTATTTTTTTTAGTTAAAAACTGGACTAGCAGAAATTTTTGGAACAGAATTAGTAAAAGGTAAATCATATACATTTTATTTTGGAGCGAAAATTGCGGTGTTCACATGGCAAGGATGTTCATTAAAGTTACGAGGAAAAAAAGGAATTAGTTATATATCCAAAGAGACCCCAATGGTAATAATAATAAATTTATATTGATACATTTAATGAAGATAACTGATTTCTATTATTTATTATTTATTTTTATTTAATATTAAAACCTGTACAATTTTTTTCAAATTGAAAGATAACACTAATCAGCTGGATAAATACAAATTAATTGATTAACTAATGAACTGAAAATAAAATAATTTGCTAGAGTTAAATCAAATAATTATCAATGTCTAAATTATTATTTATTAATAACAGTGTACACATTTTAAATTGTGTTAAATCTTTTAGATGTTTTACTTAAATTGTCATGCGTCATTAGAACAATTACGAGTAAAATCAGAAAATGAAAAGATAAGAGGTCCTGTTACAATGGTTGTTGGGCCAACTGATGTGGGTAAATCTACTCTCTGTAGAATACTACTAAACTATAGTGCACGGATGAATTCTCTTGGACGTAGACCCATCTATGTAGACTTGGACCCAGGTCAGGGACAAATATCAGTTCCAGGAACAATTGGTTGGTATTGATTTTAAAGTTATTGAAATTGGCATTAATCCTAATAAGAATAATAATTTGTAGGAGCAGTCATGGTTGAAAGGCCAGCTGAAGTAGAAGAAAGTTTTTCTCAAGCAGCTCCACTAGTTTATCATTATGGACATACAAACATGAATTTTAATTCAACTTTGTACAACACTTTAATTTCTCGAATGGCAGAAGTTATTCATCAACGAATGGATGACAATCCTAGAAGTAATTTTTACCTATTAAAAATTATTTGACTTTGAATATTTTATTATTTTATTGCATTCGTTATATAGCCGAAAAGAATATTTTAAAAAGATATGGGTTGGTATGGAATTTAGCAAATCTTAGTTTAATTGTAATTACTCATTACTACTTACAAATTGAATTTAACATACTACATTTTGTAAATATTTATTAACCCTTAACTATTTAACCTTCTTTCAATAACTACATGAACAATGTTTTTTTATACAACAATTTGATTTACATAGAAATCAATGTTGTTATTATACATATATTTGACTTAATTTACTTGTAAAAGAACAAAGTACTATATAATATTGTTTTAAATTTAATTATAATAGTATATAAAAGAAAAAGAATATTATTACTATATTATTATAATCGATAAAAGTAAAAATTTTTTACTCTCAAATAATTGCTACTAACTTAAATTAAATCTTACTTACTATCCTGACTTATTTACGTGTTTCATATCTGACAACAGCTTTTACGTGTTTCTTACATGAAGAACATCGTAATGTTGTCACCTTATTTTTTGCTTTTTCGTTCATCGATACAAAAATAATTTAACATGGAGCTTGGTTATGCTGCTACAAACATCGAATGACAATTGAAATGGATTAACATCTAATATTCAGTGTGATTACAATTTAAGGTACCACTAAATACCTCAGCTGGATTACCTTATATTGAAGTGAATTTTTTAAAGAGCCTAAGTAGTACTTAAATACACATTTATTTATAATTTTCAATTTTTTTACACTTTTAGTACAGTGAAAACTGTCTAAAGCGGAATCGCATGGGACCAACAAAAAAATCCGCTTTAAGCAGTTTTCCGCTTTATTCAATAAAACGGAAAAATTCCGGATTATTCAATTCAAACGAATAAGAAATATCAAAGAATATTTATCAATTTATTGTTTTAAATACATAATATAATTCAATAAAATTCGTTAAATTTTATCAGTTGATATTTTTCATTTAATGAAAGACACTTATATTTTGGCATTTTAATATTTAATGCGATAAACGGAAGATAAAATAAAATTAAAAGTGTACGTACGACTGTTGGTGTAAGACTGTTTCACAGTTACAAAGAAGAAATTTCGTATCGTTTAAGATGCGATAATATGCATTGTATGTACAATACTAAAATGTACATATTATATTTTACGAATATGTACCTATAGAACAATTTTATCTTCTTTATCTATCACTATTTAACTATGTACATTTTACATCGGCATATCTATATTTTATACCTTATTTTTGGTTTAGATTTGATACGCTCATGTCATTTTTCCGGTTTATGCAAGGTTTTTATTAGTAAAGGACTTACAAAATCGTTCCGTTTCCGCGTTATGAAGGTTCCGTTTTATTGAAGTTGAGCGTCTATATAAAACTATAGGAACGTGCCGGGACCATAGAAAAATTCCGTATTGGATAATTTTCCGTTTTATTCAGGGTCCGCTTTAGACAGTTTTCACTGTACTACACATGCACAATACAACTTACATTTTTTTAAATGGGAACACTATTTTTTTTTACTCATTCAAATAAATTATTTTTTTAAAACATTTTTTGTAAAAAAAGTTTTTTTCTATTTAAAAAACTGACCAAGTTAGAGAAGTCAACATTTAAATTTATACATAATTTGTGTTTAACAAAATTTTCACTTAAAACCACTAGAAATAATAAAAGAAATGTTTAATTTACCTATTATGTTTACAAATAATAATTTAATAATATTGTTCGTCATCTGGATGAATATTTCGAGTATATGCTAATTTTTATTTAGTTGATTGCTATAGTATGACTACAATTTTAACTATTTTTATTGTGGAATTGTATTTTATTTTTTTTTCAATAAAATACAATTTTACTTTTATTATTATTGTATTGGTAAACACAATTTATAGATTAAAATATTAGTCATTTTAGTTGATAAATAATTTTTAAATTGTAAATGTTTTTTCTTTTTATATTTTATACACTTGTGATAATAAGTATAGAATTTATATTTTCTAATTTATGTATATATTATGTTTTTGCAGTAAACAATTCTGGATTAATAATTAACACATGTGGTTGGGTAAAAGGAAAAGGTTACCAGCATTTGACCCATATTGCACTTGCTTTTGAAGTTGATATTATTCTTGTACTCGATCAAGAACGATTGTACAATGAACTAGTGAGAGATATGCCAGTATTTGTCAAAGTTGTTCTTTTACCAAAAAGTGGTGGAGTGAGTAAAATCAATAAAACTATTGGGTACTTATCAATTAATATGGCTACCTACACAATAGGCTGAAAAATAAAATAATATAAATAGCTTCATCAACAAATGTTAATGTGTTAAGCATATGTTCAGCATAATATGCTTAAATAAAATTTACTTTAATTTTTTTCTCGAGATTTTACATAACACTTAAAATATGTTTACTTAGAATAATTTGAATTTGAATTCCATATACCTACTAATTTCTTCGATAAAATACTCTGTAGAGAAGTTAGCAACTTTTCTTTTCATGGTAAATCCCAAATTGTTGAGATAAAAGTATACACTTGTTGGATATCATACATCACTTTAATAATATGTCTTAAGTTTTATTGGGCAGCAATGTTATTGTTCTATGTAGGAATTAAAATATGTATACAGTAACTTAAGTGTTTTAAAACTGAACATACAGCTTATAAGTATATAACACTTATTCTTTGGCATACAATTATACTTATTAAAATAAAATATAAAATGTTCCATATTGGTCATAAATAATCTAATATTTAAATCACATTTAATACTTACGTTTTCGCTCCCGACTGACAAACCACTCCAATCCACTAATCTCTGCTCTTGATTCCGACTCCATTTTTGTTTACCCTCCAAGTCGACTGAAGAGAAAGTGGTATAGAGACTTAAATATCAATTAGCTAAATATATAAGGTAAATTTAAATTCAACCTAATCATGTCATAAAGTGTCGCCATTGGGTGGCTGCTTTTATCATGTTTATGTCAATCTATATTATATATTTCCTTTCCGCATGGGTACTTATTGTAAAAATTTATTTACGGATTGTACGCTTTTAAAATAAAAAGTTAAAAAAAAAAATATTTAATACCAACATTAATATTACTATGTTCAAAATCAAAATTAATTTAATTTAATCATCACCATTTTATAAAATTTGGCTTAGCATTAACTGTGTATTAAAAAACTTTGTATATTATATTTGTGTACAGTTAATATAATACATTGACTATTCTCTGACTACTTTTTTAAAAAATTAAAACGACAAAGGTGTTATGACTTGCTTGCTCCAATGGAAAGTCTCTACAATCCCTAATTTCTGTCTCTTTTTTAATTGTATTATCTATTGTACTTATTGTTTCTATTCTAAACAGATTTTATGATTAAAAAAAAAATATATTATATATTTTAATGAAATTTATGATAAATTATTATGAATTTGTTTTATTTTATAATTAGGTAGTTGAAAGGAATAACAAATTCAGAATGGAAGGTAGAGAGGCACGTGTTCGAGAATACTTTTACGGTACTCCTAGGAATGTACTTCATCCACACACCTGTGAAGTAAGGTTTTCTGACATAAAAGTTTATAGAATTGGAGCTCCGCCTATTCCAAATACATTGATGCCATTAGACATGCAAAAAACTGATTTAGAGACAAAACTTGAACCTGTTACGCCTGGTAAATATTAAAATAATTTAGTTTATTGCATTTATATAAAATATTATACAATAAGAATATTTTTCCACTAAGATATATTTTTTTAAAGTATATACTAGATTTCACTTTTTTAAATGTTTATTTTTATAGGGCCAAATATGATGCATCACATTTTAGCTCTAAGTTTCAGTACAACGGTAGAAGAGGATGTTGTTAGGACTAGTGTGGCAGGTTTTGTTTGTGTGTAAGTATTGTTTAGAAATAAAAAATACTCCTTTGTAATACAATATGTTAATACTTTTTTTCTATTTCACTAGAACAAATGTTGATACCTCACGACAAATGTTAACTCTTTTGTCACCTCAACCAAAACCTTTGCCTGAAACAATTTACCTCATGTCAGATGTACAGTTCATGGACAATAATGCTTAATGCTGTGTGTTTCATAAGAGCCAGAAAAATATTTTATGTATTAAATATAGATACAGTTAATTATTATTTTTTAATACATAATTTATACTTCTTTGACTTAAATAATAATTCTCAGTGTAACTAAAATAATGTGTATATTTTATATTAGATGTAATTCTTAAGCTGAGGTTTTATTTTTCCTTACTATAATAAAGGACTTTTTATTAGTATTAAGAAAAATTGCACTAATCATTAGTATCATTACAAATTTATTTGATACAAAATTCAGTCTTATACAAATAGCCATATTAATATTGAAAATACTACTTTTAATTATTATAAGTAATTTAAAATGAATTATTGTTGTCATTAACTGTAAATTTACAAATAAATGTCTACACATTTTTTAAACAATTCTTTAACTGTACGATATAAATAATTTTTAATGGATTCAAATAAAATTTAATATTTCTATATTTCATCAAAATTTTATTATTGTAATTGTTGACAGAATTCTAATCGTTAAATTTAATTGCGAAACATTGATAAAACACATTCATGAAAAATAGTGTTTAATGATTTTTTAGTTATCTTGAAATAAAATCATGTACTACAAAATTCATGGAGAATAATATTTTTGAAGTTTGAATATATCAGTTTTATTTTATTTAAAATAAAGATGTTTTTGCAAATTTTAATCAATATTAAATTATTTTAAAACAGATGGATATGTCATACGCAAACCTACAAGATTGTTATTTTCTGCAGTTTTTGTAATAAGTGATTTTCTCTAAGATAACTCAAAAATTAAAATGGTTTTATGTAAATACATTTTGCTTACGTTATTTGGGGGTGAGAGATTATTTACAAACAGTATGTTGACCAATGACATTTCTTAAAGTTAATATCATGGTTAAACACATCTAAAACTGTAAGTAAAACTTGTTAATTAATTATTTTTGATAAATCACTGTTTATACATTGAAGGAATATATATATGTTTTCATAACTCTTAAGATAGTTGACCAAAATCAAAAATATGTAATTGCCTAAAACCTTATTACACTTATGTGTAGATAATGTAATTTAAAGAAATGGTATAAAATGCATTTCTTACAACTTGTTTAGTTATTATTTTAAACTCGTTGACAGTCTTACAATTACTATTTACGTTAAGTGATGTTGCCTAGATGGTAATTAAAAAAATAATTAATGACAAACTTCAACTTAACCGGGTTAAATTAGGGTTTTACTCCGTATTAACTTTTGTAGTTAAATGTATTGTCCGGGAACTATAAGTTTAACGTTGCTAACTAAAGTTAATTTTTTTTAGTAACTCGCACCACACCTCGAACTCCTTTTTGTTCACTACAATTAACTGTCGCTGAAGATTTCGGAAAAATTTTTGTTAATACACTAATAGCGTTTGATTTGATGATGGACGTGTAAAACGCTATACTTAAAAATAAAAGACCATAATATTCATAATCTGCTATTGAAAAAGAAAAACGTGTCATAAGTGGACGTGTACTATAGCGTTTCATTTCATGTAATGCTAGTCGAGAAAATTTATAATCTGGTCGGTGTTTTACTGAAAACGAAGATTTCCCTTCAAATACGTATAATATTATTTGTAAGTAAAAACTAAAAATGATGATATATCTCTAACAAGTGGTAGACAGTATATTATACTAATTTTCACATATGAGAATAGGTGGGACGCGCGAACGCGATCCCCGCTACCAAAAATTACGCGTCCGAGGTATTCGCATTAGGAATACTCGCAGGGGTCAACCAGCCCGGTGTGCAATGGGCAAGTCTCGTCCTGGAGGAACCGCCTCGTTGATCACGGTTAACCTCGACGCCAAGTAAGTAT